CTTTGTTCCGGAAGAAGTGATTCCTATTGTTTGATAACAAATGGTGGTGTTGGCCCATTGTACAGCCTGTGTTTCACAGATGATTTTGTCTGTGTGTCAGATACCAAACTCAGGGCAGGAAATGAGACTACAGGGTGGTGAGATGTTCTTGGGGAGTGACTCACATGCGTGAGTTACTGATGTACTGCACAACAGTAATACAACGGTGGCTGCAGTAATTAAAAAATATGGGGTAAGCTTCCACTCACATCAGAAGTGGATAAATTCCTCTGACAAGTACTTATCCTATAACTTCTCCTTTACTTCAAGCCCCAATCCATCTAAACAAATTCAGAATTTCTCATTTTGTGTTTGTTTTCTCCTCTCTTCTCCTTTGATGTGAATAAGATTAAAGGAAAAAAAAAAAAAAAAAAACAACTCTGCAAGTAAAAATCCATTAGAAAACGCAAAATATGAACAGTGCCAGAGAGTGGGAAAAGCTTGTCCAGCATCTGTCCTTTCTACTGAACACCTGGGTGCCCACAAAGAGAGGTGACTCTTGGCCCCATCTTACTCTTTGGGAGACCAAAGTCAACTGTTAGGATTTCATGCTATTTTCTGGGGGTGGCTGTGTTTGGGCTGGGGATACCAATTCCCTTCCCAATATCTGGCAGAAGACCCATTCCTCTCTCATTTAAAATAACCTCTTAATCAATGCTTGAAAATGGATGAAAGAATAAATGAAAAAACCTCTCCAAGAGAGCACTCAAACTCTGCAGGAAAATAAAAAAAAAAGCTGGACTTCGCTTGTTGCTGAGGAGAGCATTCAATATCTAGCAAGGGTCTGACCCTGCACTCAGAGGGGGTCAGCTTGGAAAGCAAATGCAGTTGTTCAGTGCACGCATTGATGTCCTTTAATGCCAGATTTCCAGTCAAGAGCAGTACAGTTCTTACAGGCTCCATTTGTCAGAGGTAGGATACTGCATAAAGGATGAAGTACAAAAAGCTGAGAGCCTTCAGCAATTATAGTTTTGTTTAAAATTTTCTCTAAACCAGAGGGACTCAAAGGTTTCCTTGATTTTTTTTTTTTTTTTTTTTTTTTAATTATTATTTTTTTTTAACAGGGCAAACTTTCAGATGCTTGCAGGACCTGGTGACTTTAGTACAGATTATCCCAATGGGTAATTGAGCCTGTTGCAGTAGCAGCCACATCCTGGTCCAGTGCTGTCATCCCATGTCCTTGTTATTTTAAGAGGCAAGCTGGCTTATTGTGTTAGGGCTGCAGGTGACTGATGGCAGGGAGTCCTCTTATGGAGGCTCTAACTTTGTTTAAAAACTGGTTTGATCTTGTTGGGAGAAGAAATTGAGGGGCAGAGGTGTGATGAGAGTTGTTGGAAGATTGGAATTGGAAGTGGGAGCGAGTAGGTGAGGGTTTGTAGGTAGTACTTGCAGAGAGAAGGAGGAAACCCAGAGATATGTGTGAGGCAATGATTTCCCTCTCTGGCAAAAGAGGAAGTGGTGAATGGAGTGGTAATTATTTCTGGTTGTGTAGTGTTTACCCAAAACGGAAGATGGTGAATTCCATGTGAAGGCTCTCAGGTCTTACTGGTGCCTTTTATGTTCACCAAGTAGAAAATGGCTCTAGCCAATGCAACCACACACAGTTTGTGAGTGCCTGCTTGTCATTGAATCCTTTTCTAGTTACTGATTTCCACCTAGACTTTTCCTGGTTGCCCATTCTTGTGCCTTCATCACACCAGGGGGGTGACTACCAGTATTCATAAGAGCTGTCCCTGAGAGCAACAAGACTCAGTCAAGTTTTCAGTACGCATGTAATATCAGAAGGAGAGCGTTAATTTGGAAGAGTTTCAGGGTAGGCCTCTGCTCATCCTGAAGAAACTAAAGCAAAAACATACTAATGGCAGTCCCAGAATGTGCTCTTTCCACTGTTTTCGGAAAGTAAGTTGATTTTGTTATATCTGTGCTGTTGCAGTAGTTGGAAATGGGTGTAGAAATGGGCACACCAGAGGTAAGTGGAGTGATAGGAGTAATAGGAGGTAATAGAAGTGATCTGGTGGACCAGAGATTCTGAGAGCAAAATAACACAGGTTGTCAAGGTCCTGTAGCCTACAGCCCCTGGATTTGCAATTTACCAAGTGTAAGGCTGAAAACATCAGTGAAGAGAGACAGAGAAAGGGTAAAGATGCTGTAGAAACTGCTTCTATCAGATATTCTGACTCATAAACTCTTGTAAGCACATTTAGTCTGAGATATGGCCTATGTGAGTAGCAGTAGGCGTACAGCAGTCCTAAGGATGTTCACAGGATTATTTCCATGCTGGAAGATGTTATGGTCTCTATTGCTTAGCTATGCTGAATCTTTCTACCCCAAGCAATTTCCAGAAACTGAAGTGGCAGTGTCTGAATACAAGCTAACAGGCATTGCAATTAATTAGAGGGTTCAAATTAAAATTAAAAAAAAAAAAAAAGGGAAATGGTTGATGATTCACTTAAAATACCAAGTAAGTGTACTGGAAGGAAGCTTGATTTTAATTGGTGTTAAATGGAGGAAAGGAGGGCAGCTGGACTGCAATGAAAGAAAGAAAAGGGATAAGGATGTTAATGCAGAAAATGACTGCACCACTCTTAGTTTGCCTCCAGTCCTTGTGTGTGCTCATTAGCTGTGCCTGCACGATGCACACGAAGTCATGTTTCTAACTGCAGGCTTGCACAAAGCATTTGAAACGTGTAGAATATGAGGAGTGGCTCTGGAGGCTCAAGTAAGGCAAAGATTTGCTCAAACTGCCTACTCAAGGGGGAAAAAAGTGCCTAGAAGGTTTAAAGCTGTGGCAAATAAGACCTTACATCATGTATGATCAACCTTTCAGAACCTACAAAGCAGCTATGTATCTAGATGCTTTAGATTTTATGTTGAATTTTCTCCTAGAAAACATGAGCAGTTTTTTTTTTTTTTTTTTGTCTGCCTCAAAGTCCTCTTCATAAGCAAATTAGAGCTTGGCAAAGCTTAGATTTCATCCCTTAAATGTTTTCCCATGGCTTGTGAAGTCTATGTGTGCCTGTTAGTTGTCTCAGCTTCCACTGGGTAAGCCATGCTGCTTCTCATGGCCATGAGGGGATCAGAAAATCATAGAATCATTAAGGTTGGAAAAGACCACTGAGATCATTTAGTCCAATCATTAACCCATCTCCATTGTGTCCACTAGACCATGTCCCTAAGAGAGATGGCCATGTCCTTCAATAGAGAGGCTGCAAGGGGCTAAGGCACCTTCTGTGTCTTGAATTTATCTTTCTGACCCAAAAAAGAGGGAAAGGATTTATCAAGGCTCAATGTGTGAAAGCTCCAGGGCTTACCAAACATGGGATTAGTATAACCTCTTGGAGGGGGTTGGCATTGGCAAGTTGAAGTTTTTTCACAGTCTGAGTGTCAGAAATTCATTCATTCTGAGGAAAAGTCCTTCATTACAGTGCAGGTGAAACTGAAGAAATAGAACGCTTTGCTGGAAAACCAAGCATTGTTTTACAGACTCTAAAAGGAAAATGGTTTCAAACCAAACAAGGGGAGATTCAGACTGCGTATAAGAAAAAGGGTTTTGTGATATGGATGGTGAGGCAGTGGCACAGGTTTCCCAGAGAGGTAGTGGATGCTTTGTCCTTGGTGATATTCAAGGTTAGGCTGAATGGGGCTCTGAGCACCTGATGCAGCTGTGGGTGTCCCTGTTCATTGCAGGGGGTTGGACCTTTAAGTGTCCCTTCCAACACAAATGACTTTATGATACTGATGCTGCTAATCACTAGAGTCAATGTGAACACTTCCCCTTCTTCACTGCTCTCTAAACTACCTAACGACCAAATATTTGTGCTGTCCAGGAGCATGGGCATAATTCAACACAGCATAACCTTCATCCCCTTCCAAATTAAAACGCAGCTGTGTTTCGGTTTTAACACAAGTGGCCTAATTGTGTGTGGGGGGGAAGGGGAGTGAGGCACTTCTGGGAGGCACTGGGGAAAGGAGGCAAACTAAATTTTGCTTTAATGATGTGAGCTGTTATGTGTCTATCAAGGCACAGAATGGTTTCCTCACACTTGGACACGTTCACTGTCTGAGGCGCTGCCTGCCAGTAATATTTTTTTTTCGCCTTAAATTAGATTAACTCACTTCAGGATTACATTTTTGAGTCTAATTGAACAAATGTAGCAATTTAGCCAGGCGTTACAGGATTTCCCCATGGATGCTTGATGAGAGATGTTCCACGAGGATGATACACTTAATTAAAAGATGGAAGCTGAAGACTGATGCAGATTTATCAGCTGACACGGCAGCAAGATTTATATCAGGGTCTCTTAGCTTATCAAAATCAAAGCAGGGGATGAAAAGAAATCCGGGCTCTGAATCTTTTTCTCGTGCTTCCCATAGCACAGAGGAGGTTTGATAGGGAGGGAATCCAGCTCCATATGTTTGTTTCATTTGCTCAAAATGGGGCTGGGAAGTATCAGGGAAGTGCATTTGTGGGCATCTAAGATCTTCACTGTCCAAGAAGGAATATAGGTCAACATGGGATGGCAAAAGCCCTTTTACCCAATTAATAAAGCAGCGAGTCAGTGATAGGTCTGTCTTCACCTCCAGTCTTCTGTCATTTTAGATGGGAAAACCCTTCTCCTGGTGTCTCCCTCTGTTTCAAAGGGATTTATAGTAAATAACAATATTATTTTTTGCCCAGTAGAGGGAAGTATTGGCTAAACTGAGCATTGCCTATGAAAACCTGATGGCGCCCAGTGCTGCAGGAGCTTCTCGTACCACTTATCCCAGTGGCAAAAGGCTTCATAGAGAGCCAAAAGGAAAAAAAAAAAAATAAATCAAAAGTGCTCACATAAAAGTGGGAAGGCGGGCTGAAGCCTTTCAAATTTAGAAGAAAACATGTGTGTATATATAGAGACAAATCAAGTTTTGCAGGATTCAGAGGAATTGTATTTTTATTTTAAGAAAAGGAACAGTATGTTTCAAACTAAATCTCTCCTCCAAACTCTCTCATTTCAAGAGCTGCGCGTCTTTCCAATTTCTTTGTTTCCTTAAAACAGGTGGCAACAAATGTGTGGGGATTTGGGATGAAAGGTTCTATAAATACCTTGGAACAATAAATGGCTCTTTGTAAGCAGCACTGCTGTCTGTAATTCTTTAAGAGAGCAGTGAATGCTTCAGAGGAAAAAGGTGGGTTTTTGGAGAGAAGTGAATAGAAAGATGACATCAACTGATCTCCCACGTAGTATTTACTTTGCTACTGGTGCTTCCATCTGACATACACGTTTATTGGGTTTCAGCTGACTCATTTGAACTTCTTCACAGACATTCGGTAAGTCAACATTACCTGAAAGCTTCTTGCAGATTTGGGTGAGGTAGTGCATGTTTAATCAATTTTATCCCTTTGATCAGTCTGTCTATAGGGCTGCAATTAACATGGTTGCTGTATGATGAGCTTTTCCATTATGAGTTGTCTGTGTCTCAAGGATTCTTTCCCCTTGCTGTGTGAGTTTGTTGCTGTACGGGTCCATATCCCACACTGATGTGCTGCCCTTCAACATATGGGTTCCATAAAGCAGTGCTTGAGGGGTGGAGATTTATATATAGGATTTGAATAACACATGCATACTTGATCTGGAAACCCGGGGGCAAGTTTTTCTGAGCTGTCCCTAGGAGATAGGATGGATATAAGGGATCCTCTCAGTCCTGTTCCTGGCAAAGAATAAATCTGACAGCTTTCCCTTCCTGTCCTTTTTCCTACCTTTCCCTTATCTTTTCTCTGTAAATAGTACTTTGTGTTTCCTGTAAGCTCTGCTCAGACTGAGCTGATTTCATTACCAGAGGATCAAGGATTTGCTAGTGATAGGAATAATTTCTCCATTTCTGAAGGCAGACAAAATGAAGATGGATCTTTCTTGTGCTTCTTCAAGATTTTGCAGTGCTTCCTTTCTCCGTAAGAGTGGCAGAGTTGAAAACTTACATTAGTATTACTCAATACTGGCTGCAAAAAAGAGAACGGGTGGTTGGACCAATGGACAGGAATTTCAATGAAAGCTCGGGGGCTTTCCCCTCTGTTCCCTGGCTGTGACACTAAACCTGTGGCACTGAGGTGCTGGTGGCTTCCCTGTGCCATCACACTTCTTTTCTGGGACCAGGCCTGGCACAGTCACTGCTGAGACTACTAAAGAAGGAACTGGGGAATGAAGTCCCATTTTCAGCCTCATGCATGGCTCTGTGAAAGCAGTCAGCAAAGTTTGGAGCTTCTTGCAGTGATGCTGGTCCCACTGCCCCATAGCTAGCTTTCTGCCCTTTTGGGGATGTCCTTCCCCTTGCATAGCCACCATTGATCTTCATATCAAGTGATTCAAAAAGGCCCTTCCCCGAAGGAAGGTCTTCCCCTATCTCCCATCTCCTACAACATCCTGCACTGCTGCAGACTCTCAGGGGTGATTTTCCCTTCAGGAACCTTCCTTCCTGCTCACATCCATCCTCCTCCATCTTCACTCACCTTCATTTCCCTTTGTGTTCTTCCTTTTCTAGTCCCAACCTTTTCTTCCTAGCTCCTTTTCTCCACCTGTTCTTCCCCAAGATACACTTCATTCTCTTTTCTGTTTGCATCTATGCCAGTTCTGATCTCATTTGTTAATTTCTTTGAATGTGAGCTTCCTTCTGAATTGAGATCTGCTCATCACTCACCTTCCCAGTGACACTGCTGGTTTTTTGGACCATTTTTGTAGCATCCTCAGTACTTTGCTGCCTGATCTGCTCCTTTCCCAGCATTTGTGTTGTAGAACTAATATCCAGCCCTCAGCTGCTTTCACAGGAGTGCTTCTTACTGCTCCAGGCTCTTTGCAGAGCAGTATCATTCACTTCAGAGCCCATCACTGGACAAGGGAAGCACTGCTTATTTCTCTGTACACACTGTTCTACCCTGCTTAGAATTGTGAGGATTTTTTGCAGTTCTTCAGAAGTTTCTTTCAGTTCTATGACCCTGAATACTTCAGTATTTCTAGCAAACTGTTGCTCCTCTCTCTACCTATAAGCACCCATTTATGACCTTCTCACTTATTGCCAGGCAGCTTATTTTTTTTGCAAAAGCTGCTATGTTTGCTCACTTCCATGTCGTTCTTTAAGCATGACCCAGCCTCAACTCTTCCTTGAAGATTGAAGCACTTGGAGCAGGAGGTTGCAGGAACCTTTACATTTGGTTGTGTTTGTACATGGGAAGAATCAAGTCCAACTTTGGCACTACTCAGCCTGTCCCCTTCCCCTGGGTGCTGGGGTCCTCCTGTCCTATTCCACAGCATCTCTCCTGTCATGTCTCCTTGCTCTCAATCAAATCCTTCCTCCAAACCCCCTCCTTGATGGCAACCCACAGCATTCATATTCCCTTTTTCCCTATTCCACCTGGCTTCCTATCCCACTTCCAACTTTCTCCCTCATTCTTTATTCCCCATTCCTTCTTCCTCCCTTTCCCTCTTCATTTCTCTTCTTTTCTCCCTCTCCATCCCTCACCCTTGCCTAACCTTTCCCCATCCCTCCTTCTTCCTCATACTTCCCTTATCCTACTCTCTTCTCCAACTCTTCACCCTCTCTCTTCACTACCCATGTGTACTCACCTTCCTCTCTAAACTTTTTCCCTCTCTATTCTGTCCCACCTCCTCCCTTGCCTCCCATCCTTCTTCAGGTGTCTTCACACCATCCTTTCTCCAAATCCCCTTAACTTCCTAGTGACAACCCCAAACTTTCATCACACCTTCCATCCCACCTTCTTCCCCAACCTGCCTTCTTCACCAGTCCTCCGTATCGTCACCTCTTCTTTCCTTCCTTTTCCTTTTCTATCCTTAATCCTTCCTTGTTCCTCATACTTCCCTTCTGCGCTTCACCCATTCTACCTTCACCTCCATCCTTTCTTCCTATTTTCTCCCCCCAGCCTTCCTTCTGTTCCTCAGTACTTTCTTCTTCATTATTTCTTCCCCAGCCTTTCTCACCCCTTCCTTCTTCCTATCCATCTTCTATCTCCTTCGACCATCCCTCCTTCGGCCATCCCTCTTTCCTCTCCACCATTCCCCTGTCATTCTTTCCACTCCCCATCCCTCCCATCCTTCCACCATCCTTCCTCACCCCTGCCACCCTTCCCTTCCCTTCCCCATCCTTCCTCCCTCCCTCCCTCCCTCCCTCCCCTCTTTCCCTCCCTCCTCCCACCGGCGGCAGAGGGCGCTGCGGTCCCGGCCCGCCCCAGCCCGGCTCCTCTCCGTAGGGCGGGGAGAGGCGGGAGGTGCCTCCCTTCCCTCCCTCTGCCCTCCCTCTCCCCTCCTTCCCGCCCCCGCCGCCCGGCCGGGGCTGCGCTCCCGCGGCTGCCGCACACGGCGCGGAGGCTCCGAGCCATGAACCCTCCGCGGCGGTCGGGCAGCGCGCCCCGCAGCCGGGCCATTCCCGCGGGACGGACCGCTCGGGGACTAAAACTCTATGGATACAATGAAGTGGCTCTGGGACTCTTGGTTTAGCAGGAATATTTAAATAAACCAATGTAAGTTTCTCTTTTTTGTTTGCTTGTTAATAAAAAAAAAAAAAAAAAAGAAAGAAAGAAAAGAAAAAGAAAGAAGCATAAAGAGAACCTCCCCCTTCCCCCCCATCCCCCCTCCTCTCGGAGACGTCCGGTTCCGAGCGAGTCGGAGGAAAGAGGAATTTGTCGCGACGGGGTTTCCCCTTCCCCAAACTTACCCCTCGAGGTGCGACCGGTGCCGTCCCGTCCGGGCAGGGCGCGGTGAGGCTGCAGGAGGGTGAAGTTGGCTCAGCAAAGCTTGCGCCGGGATGTGGAAGTGGAGGAGATGTGGATGTAGATATTGTGCCGATGAAGAGTAACTCTGGTTGGGAATTGGTCTAGGTTCCGTCTTGCTTCCGCGTCCAGAAGTGCCAGAAAGAGATAACAACACAGAAAATACTCTGCAAATTGTTTGGTGAATGTCATGTGGTGTCAGATGGCTTTGAATGGAATTTTAGTGGCACGTTTCACGGGGAAGAAATGAGCTTGGATGGTTATTTCTGCAGTGGCAAGAAAAATTGATAATTCTCGTGTATTGTGAGAGTGTTACTGATGTTACTTGTAAGAGCTGACATAATGTATTAAGCATATGTCTTAATAAGGCCACTCTCCTCGAAGCCCTTTGTAAAACACCCATGCTTGAAACATTTGGAGTTTTTACCAGCTCAAATTAAAAACTCCACTCGGCTGAAAGAAGTGTAGAAGGAAAACAAGGAGAGCTGTGCAGCACGCTGGCAAGGTGGTAGTGATTTGATCAAGGCAGCCCCGAGGGAACCGGTGACATACTGGGAGCACCGTAAGTGAGAACGAAGGCTAAATTAAAGCAAAAGTTATGCAACCAAAGTGTGGCTGCAACGAGAAGAAATCAGACCTTCTTTTTATTTATTTGTTTGTTTGTTTGTTCTGGATATATGGGTGAGAAAGTAGCGATGAGCTTCTAAAAAGCAGAGAAAAGCGTGAGCTGTGCTCACCTATGGCAACAGGTCTTGTTTTGCCTGGAAAGGATGAGCTGAGCTTTGTGAGTGCTTGAGCTGAGCCGTTCCATCCGAGGCTGGGGCAGCTGCCGATCCTACGGACAGGCGACAGATCCGGAACTCGTGGCCCCAATTTCTCTCTCCACCAGGGCGACGAGCTGCTATTCCCGAAATACAGGGCGTATGGTGGATTCAACGCGGCGAATCAAAGAGGATTTGTCAATACTAAAAATAAACAGGCCCGCAGATGTGTCCTACAGGGTCACGTCCAGTCGCTGCGTTTTCGGGGCCGAGGTGCCCATGTCGCGATTTTGCGGGAGCGTGTCCTGTCCAAGGTGCTGAAGTTGATTTTGCTGCTATTTCCCGGGATTTGAGGGCTTTGCACGAGTGGTTTTGGGAGGCTTCCTCTTGCCTTAAGGGGGTGAGGTTTGAGTTGGAGGGTTCCCTCCCCCCCCCCCCCCCGGGTGGCACAAAGAGGAAGCAGGGATGTGTTTTCAGACACGTATGTTTGATCTGTCCTTTTGGCGTGGGAAAGCGGGCCAGGTGGAGCTGCAGATGGATCCAGCAGATCCTATAAGCTTTTGGTGGCAGAGAACTGGAAAGGTCAGAGCTGTAAGGCAGTGAGGATTGAAACTCCCTCACTCTAGTGAACCAAGAATGTGGTGGTTTTGAGTGTTGCTGCTGTTGCTTTGGGTGCCTTGCCTCTGATGAGATGCCTTATTCCAAAAAAGTTGAGGGAGAGCCCTGTGCTGGGTTGGGATAGGAATGATGCAGATGGGACTGGAGTGACGCCCAATGATTTTGATAGTTTTATCTTCTTCTGGTGTAGCCTCTAAAAGTGGCAAATATGGTTGATGAAGATCTTCAGAAATAGTAAATCCTTAAGAGAAAAAGTGTGTCTTTTGGGGAAAGTGTCTCAAAAATTAAGCAATGGAGTCCTGCACTGCAAATTGTGATATTTTTAGATTAATGTGCCAAAAGCTTTCAGACTTAAGTAGTGGAGTTTATGTAATCTTTGGTATGAGACAGACCACAGTATTGCCAGAAATAAGCATAGAGGAATATATTATTTGCCTTTGCTTTGAGTTTGATCTTGTAATGTGCTTCTCCTCAGTTCTTGAAATTAATTCTAAATCCATTTATAATGCAGATCAGTACTTTTTGTCTAAGACTCCCAAAGGGTTTTAAAAACACAGATGATCAGGCTTCGATACCTGTGTTTTTATGGATAAATAGTTCATGCTGTGAGGAGTCCTGCAGGTCTAAAGCATGCAAAAAGTCCGTACAGTATGGTAGAGAACTGATGTTTCATATCCTCAGTCACTCGTCAGAGATCACAGAGGAACTCAGTTGCATCATTGGCTATGTAGTCCAAATACCTTGACCATTAAGGGTGTATGTAGATCATGAGGCTTCTTTGACTCTGGGTGACAGCTTATGAGGATAGAGTCTAAAAAGTGCAACACAGTGGAAAGCTGTGATTCTGATTACATTCCTGGTCTGAATCAGAAACTAGCCTCCGTTCTTGCTATGATGGACTAACACCTGTGGGACTAGCACACACCTCACAGGATTTTTACAGGCTACAGAGAACAGTTGAGTGGTAACTGCATTCTTGATTTTAAATGCATAATCAAAATTATATTTAAAATTGTACTGATAGGAAATGACATTCTGAAAGGAAATTTATGAACTAGAAGTAGTTTAAGTTTCTTCTAAAAATCTTGGTTTTGGGGTTGTTTTTCTTTTTCTTTTCTTTTCTTTTTTTTTTTTTTTTTTTTTTTTTTTTTTTTATTAGTTAGGGATTTATCTCTTCTTGACCATTTTCTTTACTGATTTCAGTTGTGTATCTTCAAAGAAAGCTCTGTCCATGTATGTGAGGAGAGAACTTGTTAAAGCATGTTGAGTGGTTGTTCTGAAATCATGGTCATGTTTTTTGAAAGAAACAGATCAATATCTGTTGTTACCTTGGATTACGTTTGGAACCTCAATATGACAAATACAAAGAGACCTTTTGTTTTCAGAGGGCGGATGCTCAGTTTTTCCTGAAAATTACTACCTTGTAAGTTGTCTCCAATCATCCTCAAGAATTACTTTGAAAAATTATAGGTCTGGTAGTTAAAAAGTGGCAACAAGTAATTTCTCAGTTCTGTTAAATGAAACTCATATTTCACAAAGGCAGTATATCTTTGAAGTACATGCTTAACTTCTGCTTCTGTTTACATGTTGTCTTGTGATAGAGTTTTAATCAGTGTACGAAGCAATTTATATTTTAAATTCTATTATCAGTTCTCACTTTTACTGTCTATTTTTGTGCTTATCCCATTGCTGAAGATATTCAAGGCCAGGTTGGATGGGGCTTTGGGCAAGAGGTATCCCAGCTAGATCATTTTTGAAGACCTTTCCAACCCAAACCATTCTGTGATTCTAAATCACTGGAAAAAAATACGTGAAGCCAGTCAGGTATATTCCTGTTTTCTTGGAGTGACTATCTTGTCTGTGCTATCACAACGTTCAGATAAACATGATAAACATTTGTTTATCTTTAAACTAATTGTTGTTTTTATGACTGAACTAAAACCCTGATTATTTTTCTATTGATCTTTTAATATTTATTTTGCAAGCCAACCGTTGGGCCCACTTTCACCTGGCCCTGTCTCTTTGGGTTTCTCTTGCAAAGTGACAGTTTCTAAATCAGGAAGGAAATCAGGTCACATTTCTGGCTCTGCAGGACTTATCTCACTGCTCTTCTTTCAAAGTAATTAGAGTTACTAATAATGAGAAAAAGAAAACTTTTTCAGAACCGGTATGTCCCTAACCCCTCTCTCCTTCTGGCTGTTTTTGTGTCACAGAAAAGATAGGAAAAAGTTTATTGAGGAAGCTCCTTTTGCTCCATCTGAATGTGACTTCCTTCAAGTTGAGCTGCAGGCGATGCGGTCACCCTTACAAAGATACCCTGTGTTTCTTAGATTAGCAGACTTCATTTGTTTATTCCCCCTTGTTCTTGCATGGTGTCACCGGGCTGCACAGTGGAGCTGCTTAGGTCTCAGCCTGGGAGAAGAACAAGATGCTGACTAAAGCTGTCACTATCCCAGTCCCTGAGCAGGCTGGGGAAATACTGTAGGGACAATATGAGCAGAGTAGAAGGCACGGTGGCTTTATTATACACATGCACTGCTAGCAATCACAACCATAGTTTGTACCCTTCCTATTCAGGCTTCTTATCGGTTACAGTTCACTGGGGCATACTCCCAGGAAAAATGGCAAGTGAAGCACAAAAGTTCCTTCTCCTTTAATACATCCACCTTTGAGGAGATGTGACTCAGGAGGGGGTTTCCTCTTCTGTGTGCAAAATTCTCATTGATGTCAAAAGATCCCTTATTTTCCATGGCAAAAATGTGCTTCCCTGCTCTCTGTAATCGACGAAGCTGTTTTTGTCTCAATTCTGCATGACAAAAATGGCTTGGTTTTCATTTTTTATTAGTTTTATAATATTGCAATAGCTTTTTTAATAGAAAGGCATCATACATCAAATAATAAAGTTTAAATTTTTCAGAATGTTTCATTACAGGTGCTGTTAAGCACTGTGTTTTCCTTTTTTTACTGTACTTAATTAATTGGAAAGTGGAATAATTTGTGCTCTATACTGGAAAAAATAACTCGTTCTTTACCAGGTTGTTTATTTCAACTTTCAGCTTGATTTGAACTTTCCTGATTCACACAGCTTCTGCCAGAGAGGCTTTTTATGGCAGTGATGGAAAGCCCTACCGACCGGTTAGAGGTCCTTTATAAAGCTAGCTGGGTTCCTAAGGCTCTAAAACTGCTCTTTATCCAACATATGACTTGCAGATATCTTTCAAATGATGCTTTACTAGTTTTATTCTAGCTCCAGTATTAGTATAGAGTGTCTATGAAGTTATACGGGTGGTTAATATTTGAGTGCATAACACTGAAGGCAGACTGGGGCATGGGTAATTTGTCTGTGCTAGAAGCCAGGAGTGTCTCTCAGTAGTCATGGAGTTTGTAGGCTGATTTTGACCATTAAGCTGTGGTTTGGGGCTTTAGAGAAGTCTGTTTTTCTTTTTGCTCTTTCTAAATGCTTTATATAACACCGAAACATCTGTGCAATAGGAAGGTATGGAAGAACTTGCCCATGGACAAATTCTTTCAAGATACATTAATTGGAGATGGATTAGATAGTCCATTTGCAAGGATTATATATTTTTTTATAATGATTTTTCAGAGATTCTTTTTCTTATTGTAATGAAATGGTCACTCTTCCCAAACAAATGGGCAGTTGTTTGTGTCTCAATATGTCACCATTCCTCCAGGCTGGCTTATAGCATGCCGACGCAGGGTCTAGAAGTCATAGGGAACCAGATGCCCACTTGACCCTGGATGATCAGAATAGCACATGGGGATCATTTCTACTGATTTTGAGTGAGCAAAGTTCACCCCTGTCATAGCTAGCTCAGATTTTGTCTCTACTGCAAAGCTACTTCAGTCCTCTAAAGAGCATTTTTACTGCTGGGCTGTACAGTCATAAAATCACAGAATGGCTTGGGTTGGAGCAGGCCTTAAAGATCATCCAATTCCAACCCCCTTGCTGTGGGCAGGGTTGCCAACCACCAGCTCAGGGGTGCCGGGGGCCCCATTCAACATTAGAATGCCTCTAAGGATGGGGAAGACAAAGGCAGACACTGCCTGAGGGAAATCCTGAATACCAAGTTTTCAGAAAGTGTGCTGGTGACAATTAAATGAAACTTTCACCATTGTGTAAAGCTCATAACGGTGAATGATTCTGTGATGAAATTTTCTTTTTCCCTCCTGATGTAGGCACCAAAAAGAGAGAGGAATGCTAGGGGGAGGCTTCCTGTGGTGGTGGGAAGTCCTTCAGGTGCCTGCATGGCTGGAGATGCAGCACTGACTGTGGAGAAGTAATGGGAAAGCTGCAGCCCAGCCTTCACAACTTGGAAACGCATCATTAGGGTGCTACAACCTGACCCTCAGACAAGCATTTAGCATCGTCTGAGGTCTGACATGTTAGTAGCTGTTACATAATGCACAATTATAGAATCACACCAAAACATTTTAAAAATACCTGCCTGATCACCACAGGGTAATTGCACTGTGTGTTAATGGGGCTGGGTGCTGTGGTTAAGGCACCCCCTGCACCGATGCATGTTCCCCTCCCCAGCAGCTTGGAATACTCCATCAGGTGCATCCAGTGGTGACATCACCTCGGCCAGGAGAAGACCTCCTCTCCTCCAAAGCTCCCCACCGTTTGTGTCCTCGTCCTGCTTTGCGTGTTACCAGTGCTGTCCTTTCCTTCTGGAGGAGGGTTTCTGACCATCCTTGCTCCCCTGTTTTAGCACAGAGGTATGACA